TGACCTATCATGTTACTATTTGACTTTACTGTTTTTTTTTTTTTTCAAATAGCAGTGTTGGATGTCCCATTACTCTGCCTAGCTAAACAAACATTAAAAATCATTATTAGCGGGGGCCAGCAGATGGCATGGTGGTTAAGGTGCTAGACTACCACGTGGCTGACCGCAGTCTGAATATTGGACCTAGTGGCTTGCTTTCTCACTTTTTTTCCTCTCTCCTGAGTGGACATACCCTATAGCAAATTAAATAATAATAAATAAAAATTAAATAAATAATTATTTAGAAAAATCATTATTACCTTGGTGGGTATGTTGTTGTTGATAGGAATTTAAAAACTTCGCAAATGCAATGATAAAGGCTTCTACTGAGTAAAATACTACACAAAGGCTATTAAAAAAAAAAAAAACCCAAAAAAACAAAAAACAAAAAAAACACCCAACAAAGCCATTGTACCATAGAAGTTAGCAAGGATCCTAGCTGAACAGTTTATTGGGATGAAAGTCCAATCCTGAGTTAGGAAAGATTTGAAAAACACAATAAGTCTTACAACATATGCTGAATCACTGACAATACAAAGGTATTTATGAAATCAGTCTTCGGACCTTAACTTCCATTTGTACCTTTTTTTTTTTTTTTAAATGCCTGAGAATGCACCTAACTTCTTATTAGCCTTTCCACTTTATTAAAGGCAATCCTCACTCCACCAATCTTAATACGATTGTTTTACACCAACAGTGAGAAGTTTTAGATCCAACTTAAAAATGTGTAAGGAAATACCCAGGTTTTAAAGATTATTTTTGGGAGTATATATATGTGTGTATATATATACATATTTTATATTTTTTTTGGAGAGAGATTTTTGCTATAGGGTGTGTGCGCTCGCCAGAAAGACAGAGAGAGACAGAGAAATAGAAAGCGAGAAATCACCCCCTGGGGGGATGGTCATGCCGCAATCCCTTCTCCTCCATTCTCTTCTCAGGATCTTGGGCACACACGCACATGCGCACGGCATGAGTTTAAGCCACCGTGTCCAGGACGTGAACTGTGGTAGGCTACATGGGAGTCCAGTGACATAGTCATTACACTAACTGCTGGTCCCTTGGGAGTATATTTTTGAAGATAATTATTCTTTTTTTTTTTTTTGTAGAGTTTTTTGCTATAGGGTGGGTGCGCTCGCCAGAAAGGCAGAGAGAGACAGAGAGACAGAAAGTGAGGAATCACTCCACAGGGGGGATGGCCATGTCACAATCCATTCTCCTCCATTCTCCTCTTGGGATCTTGGGCACGCATGCACACGTGACCGGCATGAGTTTCAGCCATTGGGTCCAGGACTCGAACCACGGTCGACTACATGGGGAGTCCAGCGATGTAGCCATTACGCCATCTGTTGGTCTTGAAGATAACTATTCTTAACCACCTCATAAGGTAAGACATTAATATCTTTCTCCCTGTTTTACAGATGTGGCACTAGGAAGTTCCAGAGAGGTTAAGCAACTAACAGTAGAACACACAGCTGGTGGAAATCAGAGTTAAGGTTCTAACTGAGGAATCTGGTTGTAGAACTTGAGTTCTTAACCATCACGCTATATTGTCTTTAAAATTCTAGTTAATATTTACTCAGGCTTGACAGTGGAATCAGAACACATGCCTCTAATCCAACTGAGTAGATATGAAACAGAATTTTTCTTTCTTTTTTAGAGAGAGAGATTTTGCTCTAGGGCCCATTCACTTGTCTGAGAGACAGAGACAGAAAGCAAGAAGTCACCCCCTGGGATGATGGCCATGCTGCAATCCCTTCTCCTCTTGAGATCCTGGGCACACACGCACACGCACTGCATGTGAGTTCCAAGCCACCAGGTTTGGGACTTGAACCACAGTCAACTATATGAGGGCCCAGCGATGTAACCACGACACCATCCACTGGTCCCAAGAAATCTGTCTTAAGGAACACTTTGGAAAATGTTTAGAAGAGGAGCTTTACTTGTACTTAATGATACTGACAGAAAAAGGTGAATCTTCACGTATTATTTTTATTTTCTCCTAGAGATGGTAGCAATATTTGGGAAGATCAAGTGGCCTCAAATGCAAAAATTATCTGCAGAATTGAGGCACTACATTTCTGAAGCGTTAAGTTAGAACATGGCTATTCTTGTGACAGAGTAACCCATGATACTTTTATCAGGGAATATGGTAGAGACCAGGTACTACTAAACATTTAAATAGTATCTTTTGGAATTGTTGCCAACAGGTGCATGTCCTCACAAAAGAGAGTAAGAGCGTGCTCCCAACAGGGTGCTACAGCCCTTTTCCCTCCATTTCTCCAATCTGTCAGGATTTGCTGTATTTTTCAAGCTGCCAGGGTTGGGACTTGAATCACAGTTGGCCATGTGGGATCTAGCCCCTGATGCAATACCTTAACTACTGCGCTACAGGGCTGGCCCTCAACAGTATCCTTAAACCTGGATACTCTCTCCTTCTTACAGAAATTACTCATGTTGCTTCTTCCCTTATAAAAGTTGAGGTCTTTCCAATCAAGCTTTACAGGGTTCATTTATTATTTTGTCTTTGGGGAAGAAGCTGAAGGTACACTCATGCACTCTCTGCTATAGTCTGAATGTCCCCTCAAAAGTTAAGCAAGTCTGTAACTATGGGAGCGTGGCCCTCTTTTTCTGTCTCTTATGAGCAAGTGCTGACATGCCTCTCTCCTATGGCCTGGTTTCAGCTCTCATGGTTTGAGTCTCATGCCTGCAACTCTCCAAGGCTGGTGTTGTATGCTGGTACACTACAATACTCTGATCTCTGAGGTAGCCTCGCTCCACTGGGCTTTACTCTAATGGGGACTCCGGTGGCTCTGACCTCACAATTCTATCAGGCATTGCCCTAGTAGAGACTCTCTGTGGTGGCTCTCCTTCTGCAGCAGGTTTATGCCTGGGCTTTGAGGTGGTCTTCTGCATCCACTGAAATATAGATGGAGGGGACCAGCAGGTGGTACAGTGGTTAAGGTGTTGGACTCTCGAACGGTCGACCACCGTTCGAGTCTGGACCCAGTGGCTTGAAACTCACACCCGGTGCATGTGCATCTGTGCCCCAAATGTCGAGAGAAGAGTGGAACAGAAGGGACTGCAGCATGGCTATTCCCCCTGGGGGGTGATTTCTCACTTTTTCTCTTACTGTTTCTGTTTCTCTGGTGAGTGCATGCACCCTATAGCAAAAACAAACAAACAAACAAAACAAA